ATCATCATCATCATCATCATCATCATCATCATCATCATCATCATCCTCATCCTCATCCTCATCCTCATCCTCATCCTCATCATCATCGTCATCATCATCCTCATCCTCATCCTCATCCTCATCCTCAGCACCATCAGCATCATCATCATCATTATCATCATCATCATCAGCAGCATCATTATCATCATCATCATCAGCATCATCATCATCATCATCATCATCAGCAGCAGCATCATCATCATCATCATCATCATCATCATCATCATCATCATCATAAGCAACATCATCATCATCAGCATCATCATCATCATCATCATCATCATCATCATCATCATCATCATAATCCGCCGGCCCCCTTGTGGGGCCACCAGGCTGCGAGGCGCGTGATTCGCAGTTTCCTGTACCAGTTGTAGTTTGTAGTTTCCAGTGTTACAGTTCTGCTTTTTGCTGGTTACTGTAACTAGTGGACTTCTTGCTGGTTACTGTAACTAGTTGATTGACCGCGCGAGGGGGGGGAGGCCCAAACGGGATTTTTAGCACCCCCTGGGCGCGTTGTCTGAATTAATGGGGGGGCTCGAAATCGATACCCCTCACGCAGATCCGCGGGATCAGGGTCCAAAAACACATGAGATTTGCCACATTTCTGAAATTCGGTGCCACCCCTCACGCAGATCCGCGGGGTCAGGGTCCAAAAACACAGGGATTTGCCACATTTCTGAAATTCGGTGCCACCCCTCACGCAGATCCGCGGGGTCAGGGTCCAAAAACACAAGGGATTTGCCACATTTCTGAAATTCGGTGCCACCCCTCACGCAGATCCGCGGGGTCAGGGTCCAAAAACACAGGGGATTTGCCACATTTCTGAAATTCGGTGCCACCCCTCACGCAGATCCGCGGGGTCAGGGTCCAAAAACACAGGGGATTTGCCACATTTCTGAAATTCGGTGCCACCCCTCACGCAGATCCGCGGGGTCAGGGTCCAAAAACACAGGGGATTTGCCACATTTCTGAAATTCGAACCCATCACGCACATCCATCGCAAGGCGTGGTAACCCAAACTGCGAGAACTCCCTCGGCCCTTTAATCGCAAGGTGTGGCAACCAAGCCCGTACACCATACACGTCTTACCAATCGCCAGGTGTGGTAACCCCTCTTGTGATCAGTTGGTTTTGCTGATTGCGTTCGGCTTCGCATGAAGTTTCGATACTGCTTCACAACAGCGCCAAAGCCTCATGACTTAGCTCTTCCATGGCCCATTCTCCGAGAGAGGGGGCCGGCGGCAGGGGGCGAAGCCCTTACGGATCAGCATCATCAGCATCATCATCATCCTCATCCTCATCACCACCACAACCATCAGCATCAGCATCACCATCAGCATCATCATCATCATCATCATCATCATCATCATCATCAGCATCATCATCATCATCATCATCATCATCATCATCCTCATCCTCATCATCATCATCATCATCATCATCATCATCATCCTCATCATCCTCAGCATCATCATCCTCATCATCACCACCATCACCACCACCATCATCATCATCATCATCAACAGCAGCATCATCATCAACAGCAGCAGCAGCAGCAACAGCATCATCATCAGCAGCATCATCATCGTCATCATCATCATCATCACCGTCGTCATCATCATCATCATCAGCATCTTCATCATCATCATCATCATCAGCATCATCATCCTCATCCTCATCCTCATCCTCATCATCCTCATCCTCATCCTCATCCTCATCCTCATCCGCATCATCATCCGCATCCTCATCCTCATCGTCATCCTCAACCTCATCCTCATCCTCATCCTCATCATCATCATCACCACCACCACCACCATCATCAGCATCATCATCATCAGCAGCATCATTAACATCATCCTCATCCTCATCCTCCTCATCCTCATCATCATCATCCTCAGCATCCTCATCCTCATCATCAACACCATCACCACCACCACCATCATCATCAGCAGCAGCATCATCATCATCGTCATCATCATCGTCATCATCATCCTCATCATCCTCATCATCCTCATCCTCATCCTCCTCCTCCTCATCTTCACTATTATCATCATCCTCATCATCCTCATCCTCATCCTCATCATCCTCATCCTCATCCTCCTATCTCCACTCCTTTCCCCCTCGCAGCCTCACAGGCCCGCTTCCATCTTATCTGGCGAGAATGCCCAGCATTCAATGCACGACCCGCCGCTGCTGGCGCTCAGAGATGCGAGCGTGTTCGGGAGGGGGGCGCGGGGGTCCTGCCGACCGGGCAGGGGCCACGAGCGAACTCGGCCCGCGACTCTGGAGACGACCCAACCTCATGGGCCTGGGGCCTGGAGACGGCCCGTTGGCAGCGGCGCCGCTGGGGCCTAGGGGGCCCCAGCAGCGCCGCGGGCCTCCGGAAACCCAGGGAGCCTCTGGCCCCGGGTGCCTCAGGGGTCTGAGCCTCTGGCCCAGGATTCTCCTCAGGATCCCGGGGTGCCTCGGGGGTCTGAGCCTCTGCGGCACTCGGTCGCGAGCTTCCGGGGCTCGCGATGCAGAATGCGCAGACCAAGAAGTGCCTGGCGCGACGGCGCACTCCCCGTGCCCGTACCCGTCCGCTTCAGGGTCGGAAGCGCCCGCAGAGCCCAGTGGCCCGCACGCGCTCCGAGAGGCCCTCCTCCTCCTCCTCCTCCCTCTCCTCCTCCGCCTCCTCCCCCATCATCTTCCTCCGGCTCCTTATCCTCGTCCTCCTTCTCCTCCTCCCCCTCCTCCTCCTGCCTCATCTTCCGTCTGGGCTGGCGTACCCATGGAATGCGCGCCCCCCCCGCCTGCTGCTGTTCACTTGCTGAGCACCTCCATGGAGAGCCGAACCGAACTGAACCTCCTCCCTCCTTCATCCTGAAGGGCAACGTTAGGGGGGGGACCAGCTCAGGTGTGGAAGCATCGAGCGTGAGTCGGCGATACATCGCCGATAGATCTGAAGGGGCCCTGGGACACACAAATAAATACACACAAATAAAAAGATTCCCCATATTTTCCCATATGTTCTGGGTTTCTGGCTTGCCCCCCACTGGCCATATCTTCCTGGGACTCGACGATTAATTGTGTCTGTGTTTTTCTTCCCGTCCTGAAGATCGGCGATAGGCTCCGCGCGGTGCTGGGCGGGGCGGGCGATCTGGCCCATCGGCGAAGAGTGGGCGATCGAGGGCCGATGCATCCCCCCCCCCCCCCCCCTTAGCGCTGCCCCTGACATCCACAGCGTGTGGGGAACGGGTCCCGAGGGAAAGGGCTCCTGGACCCTGGGGCCTTCCCCCAAGACGAATTCTTCATCCTGAGTCGTTTTCTGGCAGTCCTGGGGCCCGCGGAGGGTCCCGAGAGCCCGAACCCGCTTCTCTCAGGGCCCGTTTCCCCCATGGCCACGACCTCCCTTCCCCGAGGCCTGTCAGGATTGAACTTGTTGCACGGCTTGCACGTGCCCTGCAGGTGGAAGGCGCTTCCGCGGTTCCCGGGCGGGTCCTTTGGGCGTTGCTTAATGGGGGGGTCACAAATGGGGGGGTCAGAAACGGTCCCCTTTCGTGCCCCTTTCGGGCCCCTCTGGAGCCCCAGGGGGCTCGTTTGGGTACCGTTTGGGTACCTTTTCGGACCACCCTCGCCGCCCCCCCATTTATGACCCCCCCATTACGCAACGCCCAAGTCCTGCTGGAAGAGGACCTCTCCGGGGGCGCCCGCGGCGCCCACGCCGTCGGAGGAGGTGGCCTGGCCGGCGGGGAGGCAGTCCGGGAGGGACGCCGGCTCGGCCTGGTTCGGCCGCGCGCCCAGGGGGGGGAGGCAGAGGTCCACTTCCTCCTCCTCCCCCCCCTCCTCCTTCTCCTCCTCCTCCTCCTCCCCCTCCTCCTCCTCGCCCTCCTCCTCCTCCTCCTCCTCCTCCTCCTCCTCCTCCTACTCCTCCTCCTCCTCCTCCTCCTCCTCCTCTCCTCCTCCTCCTCCTCCTCCTCCTCCTCCTCCTAATCCTGAGGGGATAGGGGGGATTCACCGACCTCGAATGGCCGATAAGTCGCCCGTGTGTCATCGGTACGTCATCGATGCAGACAACCCCATGTATCGTCTATACGTCGTCGATGCATCGCCCTGATATCAACGGCGCATCGTCGATGCATCGTCGATGCATCGACCATTCGAGATCGGTGTATCCCCCCCCCTATGCCTATCCGCCCCCTGCCATTACATCCGAAGAGCGGGCGGGGTCCTCTCACAAGGCTCGGAAAGGCCTCTGGCCTCTGAGCGGAGTGCGGAGCCTCCTCCGAAGCCTCACCGCCTTCTGAGAATTGGCGGCGAGCCCAGGGGGCAAGTGGGCGGGCCTTCTCGGAGGGCTCGGAAGGCCTCGGCCTTCTGAGACGTCCTCGGAGCCCTCTCCAAAAGTAGAGACGGCTTCTTAGAAGGCACGCGGGCTTCTGAGAAGCCCCGCCACCTTCTGACAAGGCCTGCTCCATTCTTACTTCCCCACCTGGCGCGCCGCCGAGAGAAGGCCTGGCCCCTCTCGGGCGCCTGGCGGTTTTGGGGTCGTGATTCGGCTCCCTGGTTGCCGCTTGGGGCGATTCAAGCAGCCCCGGAACGCTTTGGGCGAGGCGCAGCTGCTGGGACGCATCCCGAGGCTGGAAAACCGCTGAGAACCGTCGCCCATATCACGAGCGGGGAGCGTATCCATGTCCACGCCCTCGCGGTATGGATTCCGGTGCGCGATCCCGCGGACATGCGGGCGCACGGAAACGCATCCGCGAAAAAAAGCCCCGTATCCGCGAGGTCGCAGTGCAGGGGCCAGGCCTGCGAAGCCGCATGTTTTCCGCCCACGATTATCCCGAGAGCATCTCGAGATTCTTCAGAACGTGTGTTAGCGCACACGTGCGCTGGTCCTCCGAGACCCTTCAATACGAAGCAAGCGGTGTAAGAATTGCCAACGCAGGCCGACTGGGGTAAGCACACATTGGGCTAACACACGCCCTGAGGATCATCGGGCTTAGATCAACAGCATTGCCACGGGGCTACGTCCTGGAGGTAGGAGGAGGAGGAGGAGGAGGAGGAGGAGGAGGAGGAGGAGGAGGTAGGAGGAGGAGGAGGAGGAGGAGGAGGAGGAGGAGCAGGAGGAGGACGAAGAGGGAGCAGGAGGAGCAGGGGGAAGAGGAGTGGAAGGAGAAAGAGGAGGGGGAGAAGGAGGAGGGAGGAGCAGGAGGAGGAGGAAAAAGAAGAGAACTTTCCCCCTCGGCGCACCGCTGGCTGGTGGGAAGCCGACGCCGTCGACGTCCACGGCTTCTCATGGCTCGCGGCCTCCGTCGGTGCTCCTGCCTCGCAGGCCCGCGCGAGTCCCAGGTGCATGTGCGTCGACTTGGGCGAATCCCAGGTAGGCCTGGGGTAGGCCTGGCCCTGGGACCCCCAGGTGAACACTGCTCGGATAGGCGGCGCGCCAAGGGGAAAGGCTGCATGAGAAGACCAGCCCCCTCTGCCTTCCCCCTGGGCGCGCCGCCGACTGGACCCCAGAGTGTTTACCAGGGGCTTGCAGCGGTGACACCAGAGTCCCTACTGGCTGGCGGTCCCGAGACGGTGCGGTGACACGGAATCCCCAAGAGGACCTCACAGCACGGTCCGTCACCGCAGGGTTCTGGGGCCTCCGGGGCCCCAGTGACCCGAGACGCCTCGGAAAACGACCCAGATCCCAAAACAGTGCGGTGACCCCGAGATCCTCACAGACTCACCACGCGGTGTGGTCACCGCACTGTTTGGGGGCCCCTGAACCCAGGCTTTGAGCCGCCGTAGTCCCGCACGGGATCGTGCCAGCTGAAGGCGTTGATCCCGAGATCGCAGCCCCTGGGCGGTGCCCCGCAGTGTCGGCCGAGGCCATTCGAGGCAGAACCCGAGCGAGCAGTGCAGCCAAGGCCCTCCCGGGGCGTGTCCAGCCAATGCGGCGGGTTCCAGGACCCATGAACCAAAAAACCATGCCATCTCTTGGGGGCCGATTTGTGCTTCCGCCTGTTTCCGCGGGCCTTCCGGTAGCTTCCGCCGGCGGAGGCGGCCTTGTTTTGCTTCCGCCGCCTTCCGCGGAGGAACATCTGAATAAACTCAATGTCTTCGATCCTCGAAGGCGAAGCCCGCCCTTTGTCTAGGCTCGCATCGCCAAATGCAAAATTTCTTCGCGAGCGAGGTTCGTGCAAACGGTCTTGCAAACGGTCTTTAGTCTCTAGCTGCGTTAAGACCTCCAGCTCGCCAGGAACACCAAGCAAAACATGTTCGATCTGACACGTTGCAAACCACCTGCACAGCATGTGAGGGGAGGATCAATATTTCAGCGTCACACTCGAATTTCACCAAACGGGCCTGGGGCAATTGGGTCGGGGGTCGTCCTCGCACATAGCTGATGCATTGGCTATGCCATGGCCGTTTCGTCCTCAGCCGTCTCCTCTCTCCCTCCCACTCCTCCCCCCTCCGCATCTCATCGCTCCCCCGGCACTAAGTAACTAGTTAGCCACCACCCGTGCGTCGCCGAAACTTTCGGGTGCGTCGCTCGCTTGCAGAGCCACCCGTAACAAGACTGGACACCCCATGGGAGCCAGCGTGGTCTGGTCCAAGAGGCCGTCCAAGGAGAACACCGACTACCCACCTGCAGTCCGGAACTTTTGCTGAGCATGTCGCCACAGCGGCCAAGGCGACTCGCTATGCCTTGCGAGTGGATGATGTGTCGCCCCGCTCCACGAGGCGGGAGGTCGGGCAAAACTCGAGACGTTGACGCCTGGAGACCAGAAACTGGATAGCGTGTCGCGCCGAAGCGTGGCGGGCCAGAACCCGCGCCGCGACACACTAGGCCAAAGTTCCTGACCCTCCGTCGACCTTGACCAGGTTCATCCAGGGCCCCCGGATGGTGGATGCCAGCCCCCCCCTGACCGGACTTGGGAGGGCGCACGCACCGAGCCCGCCCGAGCGCCCTCATGTTCCCTGTTTTCCTCTTCCTCCTCCTCCTCCGCCTCCTCCGCCTCCTCCGCCTCCTCCTCCTCCTCCCCCATTTTTGTGACGTTGGCCAAACACTAGGCGTGATGTTCGCAGCGCTCGTATGGCACATGGTGCAAGGAATACGTCGACTTAGCGCAGTCCTAGACAAACTGAAACGAATAATGCGGCACGCCCGGGCGGAACAGGAACAACTAAGAGTCATGGTAAAAACTGAGAGTCCAAAGGGCGCAAAGTAACAATGCTTGCCGCGGGTGTGGAGGGCGAGAAACAAGCAGGGCACCGAACGAGGGAAAGGTCGCAAGCTGGCTTGCTAAATGCTGAACGGTATTGACCTCCATGGCTTCAGTAAAACACAGGAGTAGCTAGGCAGAAGATTAAGGTGACTGAAGCTGGTATAATGCAGGAGACGCCCATCCCACTCAAACTCCCCAACTAACCCGACCTCCCACTTCCGCCTTCGGTAGAGGGATATCAAGCAAAACGACAGCGTTAGTGTTGTATGAAGGCGAGGTGGCAAGTGACAAAAGACGGCGGCCCACATTAGGGCAAAAGCCCCCCTGCCGAAGGCCAAAACGACCAGATGTCGATTCCCCAATCTGTACAACCCATCCCCCCCCCATCAGCAAACTCTTCCCCAACACCACCATAGTTGTTCAAGAAACCCGGCAGAACAACAAGCGCGCGCTACAGTGCAAGTAAGATGGCGCCAAAAATAGAGCAGGCAACGATTGACGGTGAGTGCGGTAACGCTACTAAAGGGTGCTGTGGTAAATAGTACAATGGGGTAGGCCCCCAAGGCTCGCCCCCTACTTACATGCCAAAACGGCCGCCACCAGCTACCATTAATAGAACCGGCGACGCGCTGAAAATATCACAACGTGCGAAGTACAGAACTCCAGCGTGATGGCATAGCGGCTGAGCTTGAATGTGCTGATAGGCTGGCCAAGTCGGCACTGGCTGACCTTTGGCATGCTGAGCCTGCGCTGAAAAGCCATTGACAAGAGGCTGGAATAAGCAAGATCCGGCCTGGAAGTAATCTTGCAACGGTGCCGGCACAGATGGTGCTGGCTGCCCGAGGCCCTTGAGATTCGATGTCTCGCCTGGTACTGAACAGCGACGGTATCGGTGTCTTGCAGCTGATAGGCGGTGGGGCCACTCCTGTAGTTCAGGGGGGCCCGGCAAAATGCAGCGCGCTCCTCGCCCCTGCTGATATTCACCCAATTTCCGCCCAACCCATTGAAGATGGAAAACCCCGGAGCAGGCGATATTTTAAACGTACCGACGGTAGTGAAGCTTGCCAAACTCAAGCCTGCGTCGTGCCCGTCTGCCCCCCACCCAACGTACCATCCCCACTGGCGCATTCGCAGTGGCTGGCCTGACCTGCCGCGGTGCTGAGCTGCGTTGAGCTAAACAGAGGAGAAAAACGGAGGCTGGCGTTTGCAAAACGCTTGTTCTAATCTGGTGATCAAAATACGTGTGAAGCCTTCGACTCGCGTCGGCTAGTGTCATAAACGCGGCAAAGACAAAACGCAATGATGTGTCGTGCGCCTGCTGCAACTCTCGGGCTGCTACCCAAGGTATTGTGTGTTCAACCCGAGCCTCCTCGGGCCCCCGGCCCCCGGTGCATCGCGTTGACTTCTTAACGGGGTTTAGCACGATGCCTCTTGTTCAGTAAGCAGGCCAAAAGAAAACAAAACAACAAAAAACTGAGGAGGCACGGCGAGACAATGCGCGAACAGCTAGGATTAGCCCGGTTGGCAAGATCGCGTGCGATTTCCCCGAGCACCTGCCACGCGCCCCACTCCCCCAGCCATTGCATCTTTCCCGTGAAGGTGGCCGCCTAGAAATCTCAAAGAATCAGAGCGGTCTTAGACTGGCACAGGTCGTGCTGGCTGGCCTACAAGTGCAATGGCAATGGGAAATATACGGAATGCAACATCTGCGAGTGGGGGGGGAGGAAGCAGGTCAGTCATTGAATGCGATTGATGTCCATGTAGAAATTGACGTGCAAGCAGCAATTGATCCCGAGTAGAACCCATGTCGTGCTTGGGTTGGAAAGCTTTGCATCGGCGTCGGCGGTGCTTTGTGCTCTGCTATTGGCTTTGGTCGTGTCCGTCGCCCACGCACAAGTATGTATGTCGGTTTGACCGTCAAATATGGCTGGTGGTGCTTTCGGGCAGAAGCACGCGTTTGTGGCGCGCGTCTCTCTGGTGGGTTATCCACGAGCCACCTGTGCGTAGACGCTGTTGTAGGAGGTTGGCATTTCGTTGAAATCTCGAGGCACAGCGGTGGAAAGTGAATCGGATGGCTCGGTGCTGTCTCGGTGTTGGTTGGCCGCAGGCACGTCCACTAGTTGGCCGTCTGTCTTTTACTTGTTGTGGCGGCGTGGCGTCTGAGAGGCCGCCGCTGCAACGCGTCGAGATCGGTGCGGGCGCGTCTGCAACACCCGAAGGTACGTCGTGGAATCCGAGGATGCGTCGTAGTCATGGTACCGTCTCGCGCAGGTTGACCGCCCAGTCGCAAGCTGGCCTGCTAGAAGCTAAACGGCAATGACCTCCATGGTTTCTGTGAAACACGGGAGTGGCTGGGCGGCTGCTCAAGGCAACTGAAGCTGGCATAATGCAGTGGACGCCCATTCCACTCAAACTCCCCAACTAACCCGACCTCCCACCTCCGCCTTCGGTAGAGGGATATCAAGCAAAACGACAGCGCTAGCGTTGCATGAAGGCGGGGTGGGAAGTGACAGAAGACGGCGGCCTAGAGTAGGGCAAATGCCCCCCTGCCGAAGGCCAAAACGGTCAGATGTCGATTCCCCAGTCTGCACAACCCATCCCCCCCATCAGCAAATTCCCCCCCAACGCCACCATAGTTGGTCAACGAACCCAGCAGAACAGCAAGCGCGCGCTACTGCGCGAGTAAAATGGCGCCCCAGAAGAACAAGCAACGATTGACCGTGAGGGTGGTAGCGCTACTAAAGGGTGCAATGGCAAGTAGTACAATGGGGCAGGCCCCAAAGGCTCGCCCCCTACTTACATGCCAAAACGGCCGCACCCAGCTAACATTAATAGAACGGCGGCGCGCTGAAAATATCAAGACGTGCGTGGTACAGAGCTCCAGTGTGATGGCATAGCGGCTGAATTTAAATGTGCTGATAGGCTGGCCAAGTCGGCACTGGCTGACCTTTGGCATGCTAAGCCTGCGCTTGAAAGCCATTGACAAGAGGCTGGGGCTGGAAAAAGCAAGATCCGGCCTGGAAGTAATCTTGCAACGGTGAGGCCGGCAAAGATGGTGCTGGCGACCCTGGGGCCTTGAGATCCGAAGTCTCGCCGAGTACTGAACAGCGACGGTATCGGTGTCTTGCAGCTCAAAAGCGGTGGGGACAT